TATCTCCTTCCCATTATGCTTTTGTGTCTTCCATCTCTTCTGTTTCCATTCCTAAAACTGTCCAGGAAGCTCTTGCCCACCCAGGATGGCGCCGAGCTATGCTTGATGAGATGGTTGCGCTTGAAATCAATCGTACTTGGTCTCTTGTTCCCCTGCCCCATGGTAAATCTATTGTTGGTTGCCGATGGGTGTTTACAATCAAAGTTGGTCCTGATGGACAAGTTGACCGGCTGAAAGCACGTTTGGTTGCTAAAGGGTTTACTCAAGTGTTTGGCTTGGATTATGGTGACACTTTTTCTCCGGTTGCAAAGATGGCTTCTGTACGTTTGTTCTTATCTATGGCAGCTATGCGCAGCTGGCCCTTACATCAGTTGGACATAAAAAATGCATTTCTTCACGGTAATTTAAAAGAAGAAGTTTACATGGAGCAACCACCTGGGTTTGTTGCTCAGGGGGAGTGTAGATATGTGTGTCGGTTGCATAAGGCCTTGTATGGTCTTAAACAGTCCCCACGAGCGTGGTTTGGCAGATTCAGTACGGCTCTCAAACAGTTTGGGATGATTCAATGCAAAGCAGACCACACCGTGTTTTATAAAAGATCTTTATCTAATCAATCTACTTACCTTGTTGTTTATGTTGATGATATTGTAATAACAGGGGATGATCATGATGGCATACAGAATCTTAAACTATACTTGTCCCAGCAATTTCAAACAAAAGATTTGGGACGACTTCGTTACTTTCTTGGAATTGAGGTAGCTCAATCCAAAACAGGCATTGCCATATCTCAAAGAAAATATGCTCTTGATATTTTGAAGGAAACCGGGATGACAGATTGTAAGCCGATCGATACTCCAATTGATCCAAATGTTCGACTTTTGCCAGATCAGGGAGAGCCTATCTCTAATCCTGAAAGATATCGACGACTTGTGGGGAAGTTAAATTATCTCACTATGACCAGACCAGACATCTCCTTTGCCGTGAGCGTGGTTAGTCAGTTCCTCAATACGCCATGTGATAGTCATTGGGATGCAGTTGTTCGAATCCTAAGATACATCAAAGGTTCACCTGGAAGAGGATTGGTTTATGCGAACCGGGGTTGCGACAATATTACTGCATATTCAGATGCGGATTGGGCCGGCTGTCCAAATGACAGGAGATCAACTTCAGGGTACTGTGTTCTCATTGGTGGAAACCTAATCTCTTGGAAGAGCAAGAAACAGAGTGTTGTCGCTAGATCAAGTGCCGAAGCAGAGTATCGAGCCATGGCTCTCACTACTTGCGAACTTATATGGCTGAAACAGTTATTGTCCGAGTTAAAGTTTTGCAAACTGAAGCCTATGAAACTGATCTGTGATAATCAGGCAGCTTTATACATCGCTTCTAACCCTGTTTTTCATGAACGAACAAAACATATAGAAATCGATTGCCATTTTATTCGTGAAAAAGTCATTTCTGGAGAAATCTTCACATCTTTTGTCAAATCAAATGATCAGTTAGCTGATTTTCTCACTAAGTCACTTCGAGGTCCGAGGATAAGATATATTTGTGACAAGCTTGATGCATATGATATCTACGCACCAGCTTGAGGGGGAGTGTTGAGATTTGATATGATTTCCTTCCTGATTTTAGTTTTTATTGTACAGATTGTATCAAATCAGGAATTAATTACTGATTGATGTGCATATGATTCTTTCCTTGTAATTATTTGCCTTATAAATAAAGACTTGCTGAGAGTAGTTTCTCTTAAGCAATTTCATTCAAATCATTAAATTCAAGTGAACAAACGCCCTCCTATCACTTCATAACCCGGCTTACTTGATGGATTCATTACAAGTGCCTGGACAATTTCTTGCAAAGATTTGTCCCGTTTTTGTTCTTCTTCAACATCAGCCATTCCCAACCATTCCGGACCACTAACCGCTGCCACTGTAACCCCCTCTCCTCTTCTAGATAAGGCATCAGCCGCCGCATTCGAGATGTCAGTTTTATATTCGATCTCAATATCATATCCTAGCAACTTCACCACCCAAACATGTTGTGCTGATGTTGCTATACGCTGAGTAAGCAAAAACTTGAGACTGCGGTGATCCGTACGTACCACGAACCTCCGTCCAATCAAATAGGGTCGCCAATATTGAACTGCTAAAGCCAACCCCATCATCTCTCTTTCGTAGGCTGACTTAGAGAGAGTTCTATCTGCCAACGATTTACTGAAATACGCAATGGGCCACCGATCTTGCATGAGTACTACTCCTACCTCGGTGCCTGATGCGTCACACTCTACCACAAATTGGCGGTCAAACTGAGGCATAGCTAACACGGGTGCCTCTGTCATTGCCTTCTTAAGGCGCTGGAATGCCTCCTCAGCCTCTAGAGGCCATTCAAAACGTGCGGCTGCTTCTTTTTTTAAAAGGGCCATGAGAGGCCGTGTAATAAGACCATACTCCTTCACGAACCGCCTATAATATCCCATCGGCCCTAAAATTCCCCTGATCTCTCGAGCTGAATGGGGTTGAGGCCAATCTAACACGGCACTAACTTTTTCTGGGTTTATTGCCACGCCGGCATGTGAAATAATATGCCTCAAGTACCCGATCTCAAGACACCCAAATGCACACTTTTCTTTATTAGCTCTCAAGTGATTGTTTCCCGGGAGGCTTAAGACCAAGCTTAGGTGTTCCTGGTGGTCCGCCAGAGACCGACTGTACACCAAGATGTCATCGAAGAAAACCAATACAAACTTTCGTAAGTAAGGTCTTAATAAATCATTCATCACGGACTAGAATGTTGCCGGGGCATTTGTCAATCCGAAGGGCATCACCAAAAACTCATAATGTCCGCTGTGAGTTTGAAAGGCTGTCTTGTGGATGTCGGGTTCAGCTACCCTAATTTGATGATATCCTGAGCGTATATCGATTTTGGAGAACACAGCTGCCCCAGCCAACTGATCTAGCATCTCTTGTATGACTGGAATGGGGTATTTATACCCGGTATTGTGCATTTGTTGAGCTATCGATAGTCGACACAAAAACGCCAGCTCCCATCCTTCTTATTAACTAAGAGCACATGACTTGAGAATGGGCTTACGCTTGGCTGAATGATGCCGGCTTGTAACATTTCCTCCACCAATCTTCCAATCTCATCCTTCTGTAAGTGACCGTATTGGTAAGGCCGAACCGAAACTGGTTTTGTTCCTGCAAATCAGTGATATCCGATGATCTGTTTTGCGGCAAGGGGGCAGCCCCAATCAACGGATAATCCGTTGCCCAAGCTAATTAGCTAATACTCCCTCCGTCCCTTAAAACTTTGTCATCTTTCCTTTTTGGGACGTCCCAAAAAACTTTGTCACTTTCCCTTTTAATCAATTATTTTGTGGTTTCTGTTATTTTTCTCTCCTCTGCACAAACCTCAACCACACAGTTTTTACTTTATTATTCTCCGTGCCGGTCAACTTTGGTAAAGTTTTAAGGGACGGAGGTAGTAAATCTGAATATTATTGATGATCCTTGAATAACCCTGCGTAGGGTATATATATATATAATACTCCTCTCATCCCAGTTCTCTTAGGAAACTAACTAGACTAATTAATCGTACGTAGCCTATTAGCATAAGTCCCAGTGGGAAACAAAGTCTTGCGCACCAAGTCTAAGGAACCTGCGTACAAAGACTAAGGGAAATCCTAATATAATAAGAAGCAATAATAAAGGAAACAACATAAATGAAGCTAATTAAAATTAATAACCCAGCCCACGGAAGTGGACTCAGGCCCGTCCCCGCCTCCGGTAAACCAACAGGGGCTTGGATCTTGGACCCCCTTCTTCTAACCCATCTCATTGCTCCCACTGCTCTATAACAGATAGCGAAGTCTGAACCTTACAAACAACAACAACAACAACAACAAAGAAGTCTTGATGCCAAACGATTTTGGGGTCGGCTAACACGAATTGATCCATGATATCAGCACCAAAAAGAGAAAAAAGATAAGAAAAAATATAAAAGGCAAGATAAAATGGATAAGATAAAGATAAATATAAGATAAAAATAACATAAGAACATAAGAAAGATAAAAGAAAGATAAAAGGTAAAAGATAAAAAATAATATAAGAACATAGAAACATAAAGAAGATAGAGGATAGAAGAAAAAGAGAGAGAGAAAAGAGAACAGCTTGAAATATAAAACTAAAACCACCATCCACCCAAAATAAAGTTCCGAACACTATTTTTGCATTCAACTCAACTTTATTTTCATATATGATTTTATAGTGAACGTTAATTGTATCATAGTTGTATTCAGTTTTGGGGATTTAATATTACATAATTGCAGTTTATAAATATGTAAATTCTAATTATTTATACTCACTCCGTCTGATTTAATCTGTCTTACTTTCCTTTAGGGGTTGTTCCAAAATAATTGTCATATTTCCTTTTTTGGAAAGAAATATGTGGTCCACAATATTTCACTTTATTGTACTCGAATCTCAACCACACATTTTACTTTTACAACCACTTTATAATAATTGTGTCATACCAAAACCAGGCACATAAAATAGGATGAATGTAGTACTTAGTATTAGAGAAGAATTAAATCTATCATCAGTTAGACATGTTAATTGAAACTGTACTTCTTTTTGGAACAGGGAGTAAAAGGTAGTCATCAAGTAGTTCAGGATTAAACAGTGATGCATAATTTTTTCTTTTATTCTATTTAAATACTCAATCTAAAACAACATCTTTTAGATCGTTCTTTTTCAAAAAACTCATGAATCGTGGCGTCGTTCAGGGCTTGGGTTTAAACAATTAACAATGATATTTTTTCTTCTTAAACCTATCAAAGTTTCTTCCTAATGGCTTCTACAATATCAAGAATTAGCATTCATCTAAGAACTAATACTATTTACTCTATAGAACTATATTTTGGGGCCGGAAGCTGGGGAGCTTGGTCCCATGTCCCATAGGTCCTCCACTGCATATTCATCATAATTAGATATACCTCTTACCTCATAGATAGCAGCAGCCCCTTTTTGGGTTCCATCCCCTCCAATAATATAGACCTGAAGCAGTAAACCAAATTATACCCAAATGAATCTTGTTCCAAAAGGACAGAAAAATATTTTTGCATGTTCACAGGCTATAAGGGAAAAAAAAGTGATATTGCTGGAAGAGAAAATCTAAACAGATTTCATGCACTGAAACCTGATTAATCCCACGATCCTGTATATTATCTACAATTTTTTTTGTGTTGTGACCTCCTCGTGATGATCGAAGGATTGTACCACCACGTTTGTGTATGTTGTTTACAAGCTTTGGAGTTAAATCAATGGTATTCTTGGCATAAAATCCCCTGTAGCCTCCCTAAGAAGGTACCCTTATTAGTCAATAATAGCAACATAATACTATAATTGCCTACAACTTTTCATGAAAGAGTGTGACCAAACAGTCCTAAATAGTATGGAGTATGGTTTGTAACAAATCATCAGTACAGTTTCAAGAACAAATATGGACAAATGTGATTGGGATCCTCATTCATAAGGGCCCCCTCACCCTAAAGCTTCATAAACTGTCTGATACAATCAATAAATAGCAATAATACCGGCATAAGCCTTAGAACTTGTCACTAATCTCGTTATGCACTATGCTTTCTCAATGAAGCTGCCTAACTTAGAACTAGTAAAACCCAATGTTGTAATTAAATTCCATGATTTGCGTCCTTAATATATCCTTATCAGGTATCCCACGCGACGACATGTGAGAAATAACTACATAGCATATTTACATGCATCTGAAGTAATGGAGAATGGAGATTATACAAGGTGAAGAACATAAGACAAGAGTCCTGGAAGACCTTTAGACCACATATGTAATCGAAGAGAAAAATCAGAAATCAACTTTAAGTTAGTTTTAGAAAAGAAAGAAAAATCAGAAATCAAATTTAAATAGGACTTTTCCGAATTCACTATGGGGAATGGTACTAATCCTAATAGGGTCTTTTACTATACAACAACAACAACATTCAAGCCTTAATCCCAAAAGAATTTGGGGTTGGCTAACATGAATCGATCCATGATATCAGTGTGAAAAGTAGGGTCTTTTACTACTATAAAGCATTAAAAAAGGAGTTTCTTATTTGACTTGATTGGTTTAAATCATATAAAATCAAAAAAGTATTACATTGAAAACTTAGAACAATCTGCCAAACAAAAGCTAAAAGAAAAAACAGCACAGGTATGACTGGCATAAAATCAGGTACACAATATTTCCCAAATGGCAAATAAAAAGCATGGTACAAGTGAAACTGTGAAAGCAGTGGCATATCGGAATTTATATTCAGTAGCAGTGAGATTACAAACACTTATGGCATAAAAAATATTTACCCAAATCTACAAAATACAATTAATTTGATAAAAAAATTGAACAAAAAAAATCAAATTAACCTAAAATATTTGAGATAAATTATACGCTCTTTCATATATCTCAACAGTTGTAACAATGCTTCATTCAGAACACCGTGAAGTATTTTATCTTTCTAATGGATTTTGTATTTCTAAATTCGGATGCCTCTCAGTATGTGTTGATTTTTTAATCAAACGCTAAATGGAATCATTTAATTTCTTGATAAAAAAGTCTACCGGGGGCAGTTTCCCCCACTGCCCCCATGGTGGATACACCCCTGAGTGAAGGGATTAGATCCCATCTAAGCAAGGTCGCAACTGGCTGCATTGTAAGTGGATCAAGACATTGATGGGAGACCCACTCCCCCCAAATAAAACATTGATTAGTGCTGTTCAGTTATTAGTCCCTCTTATACATATCCACTTACATAAAGATCATTTGGCATAACCAATTCCTTCATACTGCAACTAATATTCTACCTTAGGTCCTATTTATTTGTCCGATTGTTGAATTGTTTTGTGGTTCTTTTTTATCTATGCATTTATTAAATATATGGAAGATTTAGTACTTTTCATTTATCCATTAGATAATTAAATATGAGCATACTTGAGGGCGTTGATAGAGGATTTAAGGAATAATGTATTAAATGTGCGTTTAGCATCTCTGTAGTAAATAAGCATAATTTAACATGATTAAACAAGTTGTGATGGATTTAAATTTTTATACAACAAAAACATACAAGCCTTAGTGCCAAAAGAGTTCGGGGTTGGGATTTAAATTTTTTAATGTAAATAAAAAATACATGAAACGTGATACTCTTTCCATCATCAAGTTCAATCTTAAAATATGTCTTCTTTGAACCAGTAGGGGGTTGTGCGTTTATCCACTCATTGAGTTTAGGAGATAAACCAGCAGAGAAGATGTAGTGCTCCATATATACTTTCAATTTTCAAATATTCCGCATATGCAAACTATAGAGTACACATAAGATACATAGATCTGATGAATTTTTGTGGGTCCTAAAAGTAACTCACTTCTATTCCAATGATTTTTCTGACACCATACATGTAGTCAAGGCTATGAACAATTTCCCTGATCACAGTATTTAGCCCAGGGCATAAACCGCCACATGTTACAATGCAAGCATGCACATCATCTGAACTAAAACACACCTGCAACATAATTTGAACACCTATTAAAGCAAGGCTATGATCATTTATAATATTCTAGATGAACGAGAGATCATCCAACTGTGGTCATGAAACATACCTTCTGGCGAGGACCGGCACGTCTAAAATGGACCCCTCTTGGACTATCGCTGTGAACAACAATCTATAAAGAGAAACATAAAATTGAAAGTACTCCTATGATAAAAAGGATGGGTATAACTACTTCTAAGAGGCAAACCCCATCCAGATGTTACATGGCAGCAAAGTGAAAGACAAGACAACTATTTGAAAAGTTTTAGCACAACTCCCCTGGTACCATCTAATGAACTTCTATTTAAAAAACAAAAGTTTATGAATAACAGTAACCGAACAAATTGAATGGCAGAAATAACCTTTTTGGGAACTGTATCCTCCATGTCAACAAAGTACTGCCTGAAATCATGACAACCATCAGAATATCCAAGGATATAAACAACAAGCAATGCCCAATTTGGAGATAATGTAACTTGTTCTGGTGATGTAACTCTAAGAGAAAGAAACAACTTACTTGACAACTGAATATGCAGGATTGGACCGCAATGGGTTTGGATAAGTCTGCATTAACCCAAGCAGCCCGCATTGATTCATTATAAACCTAAACTCACAGTGATTCTATAGTCTTAAGCATGAAAGCTCAAATAAACAATGTGGGGGTAGACATGTTTGGATACCAAAATCCTAAGCAATACTCAGCTATTTAAAGAAATTACAGAGCGTAAAATTTCAAATGCAACATTTATTGATTGAAATATATAAGCAAGCACAAATCTCATTTAAGAGACAGACACAAAAGAATGCCAATCTTGGAAAAAGTGAAGAGATCTTTCAAGATATACTTGTCTACGATCAATATGTTTGCAGTATGTTACCAAGTCACCTCTGAAGAGTCGATTTCTATTTTCTCCCTCAAGGACGAAATGATGTGTCAGACTACATATAAAAATTTCAAAATCATAATCTACTTAGTTCAGATTATTATCTCCATAGTCCGTACTCTAGTGCTACTCTTATGAACACTAGTCTTAGATCTCTACTTATCCTATCATTCTACATATGACCAGTTTTTTTAGCAACTTTGTGATAGAGGCAGAGAAAATCAAGGAAATGATAAAAATATATCCAACCTCTATGGAAGGAAAGCAAGAATCAATCAAGATAGACTAAAGGATCATACTGAATCATATTTAGTAAAAAGGAAGATTAGCAATAGATAAATATAGCATGACATCAGAAAATAGTTTATTACTACGTACTTCCTCCGTTCTTTTTTAAATGAAACATTGAACTTTTTCCACTATTCACATGTTCTACTTTGACTCTATTTTATTTATTAATGTATTATAAATTAAATTTTACAAAAAAATATTGTTAAATTCCTCTCATTTTAAAGTTTCAAAATCTATTTTTTTAATGTTTTTACTAATAAAGTATGAAAGATATTAATGGTCAAACTTGTGCATTGGCAAACGTGAAAAGTGTACCGTTGCATTTAAAAAAGAACGGAGGAAGTATTATTTACCTGATTATTATTTATATGTTAGCTTGTATAGATATTGCGACTTATTACTCCCTCTATCCCCCTGTTATTGTCTCATTTCCTATTCACTTTGTCAACACAAATCACTCTTAATCTCTTACTTTATTTATCTAATTTTTATCAAATTTGATTCTGTTTTTTGCGACTTTGTAAAACTTTTAATGTAGTTTCTGAATATGCGATTTTTTTTCTAAAAGTAATTCTAGTGCGGACAGAGATCTGTTTGCTTTATCGTCAGTCAAGCATCATAACCGCAATGGGATAATAACAGGGGGACGGGGTAGTCTAAATTAAGGGTTCCTTTAGCATAGGAGGTATTGGGAGATTAGTACAACTTGGGACTTTTTAGAGTTTTGCAGCCCCAAGGACAATCCACAAATTGGAGTTGGGGTGGGCTGAAGGGGGAATATACTAGACTTAAAAGCAATAATGATTGGGCTAATTGGGAAAAATGAAATAAAATACCCAAAAAATTGAGAAAAATTATGTTACACCCATGCACTGGGCTTCCATAATTATAGTGTAGATCTGCCCTCGGCTGTTGAGGAAGTTAATCTTGCTTGTGAATATTCATGTTCTTTTAGTTCTTATATATTTCTCCTCCTCCCCTCCAAATGGACATTCAATCCATATTTATTTGTCCATCCGTGAAGAACCCTAACCATCTGTTAGATCTGAAATCATCATCTGTTTCAGATTTAAAATCCTTTTGTGTTCATTAATAGTCAGGGTATTATGATTGGTCTGTGTATGAAATGAGCGAGTTCTATTTATTGAGATGTAATTGGAGGAGATCACTCAGACACGGAGTGTTTCAGTTTAGCTTGTACAATTAGTATTGGAGGGAAGTTCGAAGTTTCACAATTGCGTAGACAGGAGAGATAAATTGGACAAAACGTTACAAGAAAATTTCCAGATAAATTTTACACAAAATTGGGTAGAGCATGGTAATTACCCGGCTCTTATTAGGCATTTGTAGAAAGTGGTTAGAATTTTATTAATCCATGACCCAAACTTATCACCTTATCGCTTAATTTTATACAGAGTACTTTTTCTTTTGTATAGTTTCTTCTTCTTCTTCATAATTCAGCAGACTCAACCTGATCCATTCGATTTGAATGTTACTAAATGAATCTAAGAAATAGAAGTACTTAGATTAGTATTGATAAAAAAATACTAGCATGATGCTAAAAGTTAGTTTGCTATGCAAAATACTGACTTATCTCAGAAACCAAACATTTATCTCATCAAAACCAGATTAATCCAGAAAATTTCAGTCCCCCAAATAATTTTATTACCCAAACCGGGGGCTACGGGAATAGTATAGAATGAAGAGAAAATGAAAAGCAACATTATACTCCGTATTTGATGATATTCACAAAGGGCGTTTGTGTGAAGATAGAGAGATGAGAGAGGATGCGTACAGGAAGATCAGAGATGTAATCAGTGAGGTGAGGAACATCTTCGAGGACGTAGCCGAACTCTCCTTTGACAACCTTCATCATCTGAGAATTGACCTCTTCTCCGTTCATCATATCCTTCTTCTTCGTCTTCGAATCTGTAACACAGCTTAGTTTGAATAAGGAAAAAGTGGCGAGAAGAATGTGAATGCACGTGACTGGAGCTAGAAGATAGATTCCCCGTCCGCCAAGTTAGCTAAGCTGCACTGACTTTAAAGGAAAGGCGCGACGGATCGGATTTGTTTGGTCAACCGCGCGACAAAACAAAAAAGCCAATTAATTTTTTTTATTAATTAATTAATTAATTGCAGTAACTTCTTTCTCTAAAGCCGCCGGTTGTTTGAGAAGGATGAGGAATAAACTGGCGGCGGGTCCGGCGCGGAATTGGAATCCACTTCCAAATTCCAATTACTCGTGTGTCAATGCCTAATAATTACGCAGCGTGTCTATATAATTACTCGCATAAAACTTGACTAATTTGATCCCGTCAATCATAATTAATTTTGAATAATCATTTTAACTATTATATTTATTTATGTAAAACTTATGTGTTTTATATTTTTTTGAAAGTATTTTAAGTAAAAAATATTTTACATGATTTAAATAATTTCTCAATAAAAAATATCATTGATAAAATTTGACCATCATTGATCAAGAAAAATTAATATGACCAATTTTTATGAGGGCCTCAATTTGTATGTCAACAAATAATCTCATGAATAAACTAATAATACATTATCCGCACAGATAAATTAGAAGTTGTTGAATGAGTCCCCCCATTCATCGATAGTGCGAGAGCTTTCATTCAATGCTTGCATCATGTTATGGACCACCTCACTCATTAAATGTTTGAAATCATATCATAAATCATAATATACTCTTCCACTATAGGGTTTTGGGGTGCCTAGGGTGCGTCACTACATTTTACACCTTTTTGGATTGAGGAATAGAATTATACACAATATATTCGTTACATTTATTTATTTAAACATTTTGATTTTCACATTTATTATCGTACACTAAATCAACGATATACTTTACTGATTGCTACTAAGAATAAAACATTAAATTTTGGATGTTTATATTCCACTGAGGTTGGTCAAGTATTTTGTGTTTGGGATAAAGTCCAAAAATGACTCTAAAGTTTTTAATGAAGTTCAGATTGGACACTAAAGTTTTAGGTGGTGTTTGAATCTGATTCTTAAAACTGCTTCTGCTCCTTCAGGGAGCAGAAGCAGAAGTTGGGGTGTTTGGGTGAAACCTTTTGAATCTATTTGAGCCACCATTTTAACATCTCTGTTAGATGACTCTCCCTGCTTTTAAACAACACAACCTCAAAAACTAAGTTCATGTGGGTAAACCGACGCGCCGTCAGCAAGCTCTCTTGGGAGCCGCGACCCGGCTATTTTGTGTATACCGCTATGGTGTCCATGGATTTGTTTCAGTTTCTTCTGGATTAGCTTATGATTTCTTTGTCGTTATCCACCTCTAAATTCATGTCCGACCTTGGTTGAGGCTGAAAGGAATGGTTTAAGGTCGGAAAAAGCAAGGAAATTGGAGATACGGTTCGTAGATCTACTCTTCATGTTCGATGTGCATTTGGACTCTGGTCCTTGTTTCAGATGAGTGTTACTGGAATTGGTGAGTGGTATGGGAGACCACATATCCGCGCGCAGCTACCCAGTCGTTCATTGGGGGTGTGGGAGTCGGTTAGCCGGAATACCACTTTGGGGGATTGAGCGGTTTGCTGTTCATTTGTGATTTCATTTTCCAGGTTTTCTTCTTGCATATCTCTCTGTTCCTGTTTGTAAGGGTGGTTTGGAAATAGCCACACTCAAATGAGTTTCCCCTACTCCGGTTTGGGCAAACGACTCCTTCCTGGTTTAGGCAACCTAATCTACAAAACCTGCTATGGTGAGAAAAAACAAAGCTCAGGGGAGGCGTCTACAACAAGTGTCGTTTGCTGCATTTGCATTAGAAGAAAAAAAGTTGACCTGCTCTGACTTCTGATGGTAGGGCTGAACAAACTAACAGAGCAGTTAAAAGGGTGGCTGAAATGGAATCAAAACGTTTAAATTTGTGTTTATTTGGTCTACTTAAATTTTTAGTGTCCAATCTGAACTTTATTAAAGACCTTAATGTCATTTGTGAGCTTTTTCCCTTTGTGCTTTGATGACATTCACTATGACACTTCTAAGGATGAGATCACATGGGCTCGGATCCACGGTCCACACACTCTTGGATATACAACGGCCCAAACCCATCACATTATTATGGATCTCTCAAACAAGTCAGTCCAGAATGAAGAAATACGCTCTGTGTTTGTACAGTCACCTCGATCATGTCACCTCGATCATGTCACCTCGACTTCAGTTCCCAGACAGCCACTCGAGAACAAGGACAGAACCAAACCCGGGATGCACCCATGCACCTCAACCATCGTTACCTCGGTCAACAGAGAAGCACTTGACCAGAAGTTGGTTAGAGAATGACACATGTCGAGTTCGGTCACGTCCCAGGGCTCTCGCCCATAGAATGGCTAACCTGTGTAGTGCATTTAATGCACTGTCTCATTTATTACTAGTATAAATACCTCATTGGGGGCAATGGTAAAGGGTTTGAATCCCATTTAATACAAGCTCTTTCTCTCTCTAAACTTTAGCTCTCACTTTCTCTTCTATACCACTGGCGGTTTATCGGGGAGCTATCATGTAGTGCTCTCGTTGAGAGAAAGATGTAACATTGTTCCTAAGTATATTTACCTTTTACCAAATTATGTATTAAATCACGAGGAATGGTTATTGAATTTACGAGGTTGTAAATATTTTTTATTTATTTCATGTGATTAGTAAAATGCATGTGGGGCCCACACCGGGAGCGTGGACCACCCAATATACCGAGACCACATATTATATTTATCTTGATCTAGATAATGTTTATATGAGGGTGTATATTCATGATTAGGGCATAGAAACGATATATAGTTGGCTGGTAGATCAAACGAGGCCCATGTACTAGTATTGGCAATTTGGCAAACAATTGTCCGTAATAAATTTCAGTGGCTTCTAAATTAAAGTTGGGGAATATATGTTCATCATATTGGCCCATAGTGATCGGGAGGATGATATATATTCTATTTGACCCGATAAAATAAAATGTAATTAAAACAGTCTGAGAAATATAACTTTCGAGATCGAATGTACATTTCGGGGCACGTTGGGATGACCTTCCACATGAGTGGGGGGGCACCCCACGTTTTTGTGTGCTCAAAATGACAAGGAGGAGCCACACAACATGGTTGTGAGGCGAGAAAGTGGCTGAAATTGATGGTTGGGTGAAGAAGAGACATGGATGGGGCCCTCCCCCATTATTTGCAAGAAAGACAAAAGAGGAAAGTCTCTTCCTTACAACCCCTACCCATTTCGACCAAACCCATTCAAGAGAGAGAAAACTTTGCAAGAACATTTTCATCATTGTTGGAAACAACTCAAGCAAGGAGGGAGCTCAAGGAATGGGTTTAAGTGGCTAAAAGTATAGAAAAACTTGATAAATTAAGGTAATGGTTTCATTGACATTTTCTTCTCCTCTGGTTGAATACCATATTGTTTGGGAATCATGTGAGGAACCCGTAGTATTGTTCTACATGTTTAGAAGTGTAGAACGAGGGGTCAGAAAGTGGTTCTAAGTCCAAGAACGGACTTAGAAACTAAAATGACCGGTTCATCGGAAAATAACCTTTCTAAAGTTATTTGTATTGATATGAGTTTTGGGATGTTAAAACCACTAGTACAAAAAAAAGCTTTTCACATTGGTCAAAACATGCTTTCGACATCAGTTATACAATCAATGTGAAAAATGGAGACTTTTCACATTGAGGTTGTAAACGATGTTAATAGGCTTTTCACATCTGTTGTTACATACTCCCTCCGATCCCAAAACAAATTCATGGTTTGACTTCACGGTTTTTAAGAAAGTGGAATTTTTTGTTTTGATTTTCCCATTATACCCCCAAAAAGTAGATAAAGTGTAGTGGGAGAGAGAAAGTGGGTGTAAAGTAGATAATAAAGTAAGAGTATAAAGGTAACTTTATATTAAAAAGTTGACAAAAGTGGAAGTGTGAAATTTATTTTGGACCTACCCAAAAAGGAAAGTGTGAATTTGTTTTGGGACCGGAGGGAGTCCGGCGTAGACAAGCCATCCAAATAATTGCTGCCATTATATACTACATCAGTTAATACATCAGGTTTAACTGATGTAGAAGATATTCAACATCAGTTGGTCTTATAACTGATTAACCGATGTGAAATGTGCAGTTCTTTTCATTAACCGGAACCTCGTATTTTTCATTATTATATCATATATAACCGTATGCGAATAACTTTAACAATACCCTGCACTGCTTCATTGAAAATTGAAAAGCTCAAAATCAATACTACCGAAACATTGCATACAATTGTTCAAAAACCTTATAAATTATTTTACATGTGTCAATAAATGACAAGTCTACAAGTTGACATGACTATTTAACATTGTTCCTAAATAAAAAGTTATAATAGTCTTTGTGCTTGATCATACTGTGTCCCATTTTTTGGAATTTGATCCCTAACGAATTCGTGCTTTATTCTCTTCAGGCTATAATGGTTCCACCATGAGATAATCTCTACAAATTAGGGGGGGAAAAGTCATACACAACATCCAATATTTCAAATATTGCACTCGCATCAAGCTCTAAGATCAGAATTCGGGGGGGGGGGGGGGGGGGGTGTTAGCAGCCCATTTACTTCATGTAAAATAATAGCGAGAAATGAAGTCATACATATCCCGAGATAAATTCGGGGTGCTAGAGCGTTTATAGCACTAACTAATTTCAGAAAATAAATTGACACTACAAATTTCATTCCACACACTTTAACATAGAAATACCCTAGAAAATTTAAAATGAAATTCTTTAACATAAATGTGATTTTCAATGAGAGCAACTTATGCATGTTGGCATTCAAACTTCCAATACAACAACATTCAGTCTTTCAATAAACATAAAAATACTGTTGTTTGTGTATCTCTAAAATCTACAAAATAAATAATTAAATAAAGAGAAAATCGCACATATCCTCCCCTAATTATCCACCATATTGAAATCTCAGACCTGTGTTTCAGGTTTGTTAAATGTCACCCATGAGTTGTCAGAATAATTATAAATGCGGCCTGTTGTTATAAATATTACAAACTCCGTCTGTTTTTCATTTTTTCAAGGTTAAACTTGTCATTTCGCTTGTTTTTCGTTTAAAACCCTAATTCGAATTATCTCTAACCCTTTACCATGTTTATCCTTAAAAAATTCAAATGCAAAACTTAATCCTTTGCTCTGAGTTTTTTCCACCAAGTTTCAACCGCACATGGCATTCGAACAGTGAACGTATATTGAGGTTAAGATTCACCTTTCAAGGTCGAAGCTGTGACAGAGGAAAGAAAGATGACCAGTCGAAGACCCAATGGGTTAAATGCGACTCCAAAGTGTAAGTACGCAAACCAAACTTCTTTATTGTTAATGGGAAAGCCAATGACATATATGGGTAATATAGTATGGGTATCGTTCTTCTTTATAGACGAAGAACGGGCGATGGAAGACAACTCTTCTAAACTCCAAACGGCTGAAGAAAAGACTAATGAAGAGAGCTTTTGAATCAGGGGGCGAAGGAAGAACGGGAAGAATGCCTGAAGAGCTTTTCATTCCCAAGCAACGGACGAAGTATGGTTTGTGTTCGATTAAGGGCTTTATTAAACGAAAAGGGAGCGAAATGACGAGTTTAACCCTGAAAAACGAAAGAGAGACGAAGTTTGTAATGTTTATAACGGCAGGGGTGACATTTATAATTATTCCGACAACTCGGGGGTGACATTTAACAAACCTGAAACATGGGTTTGGGATTTCAATATGGTGGATAATTGGGGGACGGAATGTGCGATTTTCCCTTAAATAAATAATTATGAAGAACAAGAAGCGTACGGAATTGTAGAGGATTGAACCGAGCCCAACAAATGTTTGTTGTCTCTTTAAGACAAATTTTCCCGCTAGCAATTGTCTCCCATAATAGAACGGTTTTTCGTTCCCGAAGGACTCCGGCGAACCAAATGATGCACTAAAGTGGTGGAATTTGGATGAGGAAGATGAAGAAAGCTTAGAGCATTTTCAGACTTCTTATCCATTTAAAAAACGCACGCCTCCTAGTGGGATTTATAGTGCTCTAGCCAGGAGACATAATCCCAAAAGGTGCCTGTTAAGAAAAGGTAGCAACCATTTTCTTAAAGTTGCTTTTATACGAAAATAATTTGTACAAAAAATAACGTGATGGATAGTGTACCCGGGGGGTAGCTTATCCGAGGGGTTATTACGAGGAATGACTAGAGAGAAGTCAGAGCAAGTAAGTAGAGAGAGAGTATATTAGAAAATGTATTCAGCGTTTTTAGCGTCTTGTGTCTTGGTTACAAATGGGGAAATGGGGTGCTATTTATAGTAGCAATAAATGCCGGACAGGGACACGTGTCAAGCATCCATTGGCCGAGGGGTCACCTCAACTGGTTGGCGCTGACAATCGCATGTGGCCGCATTTAATGCGGTTGTTGGATGTGACGTCGTACTGGGTACGGTGATCCATACGCATGTGGAGTGGATATTATGTCGGGAAAGGTGCCCTCGGGTGTAGATGATTAGCCGAGGGCTCTGAGTACCGGGGACCTCCTTAGTGCCGAGGGCTCTAGGTGCCGAGGGCTACTGATTTTCGCCGTTTTTCCCAGTAACTTTGTTTTCCTGATTTGACCTTCCCGTGAGGATCCGAGCCTTCGGCCAGGGGGCCGAAGGCACCCCTGGTGCGCACTGTGGGGCGCTTGGTATCTGGGCACTGTGATTTGGGCCTGTTTGTGCTTTTTGGGCCTGTTGGGCCTTTATTGGAGTAGTAGGAGTCTGTGGACCGGGGGTTCCCAAGCCATATACTCCATCAGGAGTCCCTCACTCCTTTTGCCGAAAGGTACTTGAGGGAAAATGAGTAATTGTGTTTGTCCTCTGCTGTCGTTCCGTTTGTAGTTTGTAGTGTTGTGGGTAGTTTGCTGTTCGTTTATTCTGCCGAGGGCAGTCCCTTAGTTACCCACATGTCGGGACTTGAGGGGTCATGTTTGTGTTTTTTGTGATTTTTCCAGAGGGGGTTCTCCAGTCCCCCACTCCTTGAGGCACTTGCAAAGTGGTGAAAAGGAGTAGAGTAATCATATTGCTGTATTGGGCCGAAGGCTGACGCTTTTCGTTTCATTTTGGGGGGATGCCTCGTTAAAAACCTCATTAGGTAAAACCCTGTGGGGAAAATCCTGATGAGGGAAAAAGAGTGCACCGAATTCCCCCAACGATGAATCGAAAATGTGAAGCCCTGGTTCGGAATGGAGTACAATGCTGATGCCGAAGGCTATCCTTGTTCTGAGGGCGCATGTGTTGGTTAGCCGGAGGCGTGCTGTCGATATCCTGGGAGGTGCCGAAGGGGAGTCCCTCAATCTGGGGATCGAGGGCGTGATGATTGTGAGTAGTTGTTGAAGTGTTACTGGGGTGTCCCCTGTTTGTTGATTAGTTGGCGAGGAGGGTATCCGAGGGCTCCCGTTACCTGTGTGCCGTAGGCTATCCGTCAATGAGGCGTACTCCCCGGGGGCTACCCGGTCCTCAAAGTGCTGAGTGGGGATCCCCGAGGGGTGTGCCTGTTATGAAGCCGTGGGCTTCTGAAGGAGTGAGCCCGGAGGCATTTGTTATGTAGAGTGAGGGGCACAAACCGGGAGCATCTCTGTGTAAGTGCACCCGGGGGCTCCTCTCGATGAAATGGAGTCAAGTAAAAAGCCCGGGGGCTAGTTCCCTGGTTGATGAAGGAGTGGTCTGCTGAATACAGCCGGGAGCTCCCAGAATATAGCCGTTGGAAATATAGCCGTTGGAATATCTAACGTCGAAATATAGCCGTTGGGGGGGCTTCCACGTGGTGCGTGCTCGTTGGCTGTCCGTGGGCGGGTGTCACCGATTGGGCAACACGTCGGTTGGTAATGATGACTTTGTACCGGAGGCCCGGTTTTCAGGCCCAAGCCCGGATTTGGGCGCCTATAAATACCCCATGGCCAGGCCGCTTTACTCTGTGCGATATCATTGTAGCGAAGCTCTGCCCAAATTCCTAGAGAGAGAAACAGCTGCCTTCGATCTAACTCCCGTTTCAAGGTCAGTTCCTCACTTGTCCTCCACCTTTTTTACCTAGCTGTGCTTAGCGGCCTTAGGACTTATACTTAGGAATTTTAGCTTAGAGAATTTAGCATATCCGAGCCCTTGAGCTAGCACTGACGATGTCTTCACAGAGCGACTCTCAAGATATCTCGGGGGCGCCCTCGATGGAGGAGGAAATCATCTCGGACGTGGAGTCCACAAGCGAACAGCCCTCAGTGGGACAAGATGTCGTCGTAGCGATGGAGCTGCAGAAAGCCCTCGTCGTCGAGGCGGAAGCCGAGGGCTTTGAACAAGAATGCGAGGACGAAGAGCTGGCCCTCGCCTGGCAAGTAGCTGAGGAAGAGGCGCAGAAAGAGGGCGCGAGGGTCACCGTCGTTGTTCTCCCCCCTCGGGGCACTGGTGAGGCTAGCACCTCTCGGCCGTTGAACGCGGTTCCCATCCATGTGGCCCCCGGGAAAAAGAAGACGAGGGGTGATGCTTCCAAGAAGAAAGGCAGCGTCGCAGACCAGGGGAAGCCCCTCGATATGCCCGAGGGGTATTCCTACTTGAATACCGCCGCCTCAGAAATAAGGTCGAAAGCTGATGAGGCGGATCTCTATGTCACCCAGTTGCACGTGGGTCCCTCGGCCGTAGTGGTGGTGCCAGGTCCCGATGACGTCCTCTCCCGGGCTCCCGAGGGCTGCATTGCAGTGCATGTCCTGTCCGTATCGATGCGGCTCCGGTTCCCCCTACACCCCTTCCTTCGGGAATACCTCCGGTTCATGGGTTTGGTCCCCTGCCAACTGACGCCGAACAGCCACTCATACATCGCGGGCTTCCTCCATCTCTGCAAATCCCGGGGGGTAACGCCTAGCCTGGACCTCTTCTTTCAAAGTTTCAATCTGTGCCGGGGGGGCATGGGAATGCCGAGGGCTTCGCGAACTTGCAGCAGGTGGCCCTGTTCAAGCTGTTTACTGAGGCGCCCTCCTCAAACAAAGGGTGGAAAGACCGGTGGTGCTTCATAAAGTTAGCCGAGAGCCCCTTCCCGAGGGAACTGCGTGACCGGTTCAGGCGCCATGAAAAAAGGAGGAGCGTCGCCCTCGAGAAAGATGGCAGGATCCTGGCAAAGATCCCGGAGGGTCGAGATAAGAACATAGCCATCAAGGAGTGCACTCGAGAGGAGGACCTCTACACCCTCGGGTTCCGGCGGTATCGCTTCCTGGGGGAAACGGATGAAAAGTACCCGACATTTGAGGGAGCCTCCGGAGGTAGCAGCTGAGAGCACCCTTATTTTCGTATTTTAGCACATAGTTTGTTTTTTTTTGTCTGCATTTTCATGCCATCTGTTAATGTCCCGTCGGCCTAACCCCACATTGTGTTGCAGGTATCCCGGTATCCATGATGAACGTTAGAGGGCTTGCTGACCTGAAGAAGAAGAAATCCTCCAAGGTCCCGAAGAGGACGGATGCTGGCGTCCCTAAGCCCGCCGGTGACTTCTTTAAGAAGCCCGAGGGGCCGTCGGCGGTCCCAAGTGCTGATGCTGCCGCCGCTGCGAAGAGAAAAGCTGCGGGAAAGGCTCCCGAGGGCAAAAGGCCAAAAACGGGAGATGCCGGGAAGAAGGATCCCCCCGTGGTCATTGTAGATTATTGCCCCGCCTCCGGGATGCCTGTGGAGATGCCGGTGGCGGAAGTGCCGAGGGGTGTCCGGGAGCCCTCCTCCGAGGTCCTGATGGTTTCTCTCTCGGTAGGAACAGCCGTGATGAATTGCACGGCGGACCCGGGGGTACTTCTGAGGGGCATGACCCCCAAGATTGACAGAGTCGCCCTCGGGACTGATGATGACCTGGCCCTCGAGGACAAGATCCTCCAGTCTTCCCTCACAGTAAGTTTTTCCTTGATTACCGTTTTGCTTCGTGCTAGGATATAATGTACGGCTTTTCTAACTTCTTTATAACTTGCAGACTTGCATTGCCCTTGATGAACAGGCCCGGAGGCTGGAGGAGTGGCGTCTGCGCAAGGCTGAGCAGGATGCGAAGATGCTGGAGCTCATCTGCCAGAACTCTGATGCCATCCGGCAGATGGCTATGCTAGAGGAGAGCCTTCGGCAGATGACGCTGCGGGTGGAGGCCGCAGACCGGGGCAAGGCCGAGGCTGAGAGGTCCGCAACTGAAGCCCTCGAGAGAGCCGCCAAGGAGGCTGAGGCCGCCAAGGCAGATGCCGTCGCGAAGGCCCGAGAGGAAGCTGTCTCTGGATTTTTGGCAGGGGGTGGAGAGCAGAGGAGCATAAACAATGGCTATCCTCGGTCGTGGAGTCCTCCGTCGATGAATGGTGTGACGGGCCCGATGTGGAATGGGTTTCGCGAAAGGGCAAACAATACTATGATGGGGGTGAGTTTTTTACTCAAGCCCTCATCTACCGGAGGATGGCCTGTCATTTGAAGATCGAGCAAAAAGACTTTGACCCGGCAGCATACGGACTTCCCCCCTGCAGCCAGATGTCCGTGTTCCTCTCCTCTCGGATGTCGAGAGGCCCGACCTGGAAGATACAGAGCTGATGAAGGAGGCCGAGGGGGGCGATGCAGAGACCGGCATAGAGGTCTCCTAAAAGCCTGCTGAAGAGACTGCCCCCGGGGCTGTTAATATCTAATTTTTATTTAACACATTCTGAACAATCTTGTTGTAATGAACGCGTGTATGCCCTTGGCCTTCGACCCCTTTTGTAATGTATATTTCAACTTTTCTCCCCTCAATGAATGAATGCTTGCCTTCGGGCTTTTTGTATATAATTCGTTCTCTTTAATTGTTTTCCTTTGAATGTATGCCCCCGTCTTTCCTGTGTGTATGCCCTCGCCTTTTCTGTATGTGTGTATGTCAGGACTTAGAAATTTTCTCTCTAAGTACAGTGTCTTTTGTAGCCCTCAGCCACTAGGCCTGTTTAGTCATCTGAACATTTCACTGAGGGCACAATGTTCAGGACTTAGAAATATTTCTAAGTGTTTGTTCATCTGTTGGCCCCCGGCTAATTCTTTCCCTCTGGTTCTGTGTAGCCTTCATGAGATAACCGGAGGCGAGGTGTTTAGGACTTAGAAGAATTTTTCTAAGTGTTTGAATACAGTCTAGCCTTCGGTAGTTGGGTACCCTTCGCTGGCTGGATATATGACCGAGGGCCCAGAAATAGTTAGGACTTAGAAAATTTTTCTAAGTATACTTGATGGAGTATATGGCCCGGGAACCCCCGGCCCACAGACTCCCACTACTCCAGTAAAGGCCCAACAGGCCCAGAAGGCCCAACAGGCCCAAATCATGGCGCCCGGAGTACCAAGCATCCCACAGCGCACCAGGGGTGCCTTCGACCCCCTGGCCGAAGGCTCTAAACTCTCACAGAACGGGGTTCTCAAGCAAACTAAGAAACTGGGAGAAAACGGCGAGAACAGTAGCCCTCGGCACCAGGAGCCCTCGGCACCAGGAGCCCTCGGCACCAGGAGCCCTCGGCACCAGGGTGCCCTCGGTTTGAGGAGACCTTGGCTACTGCTCTATAGCCGAAGGCATCTCACTCGACAAGATCTCCTCTTCACGCGCGTACAGATCACCGTACCCTGTGCAACGTCCCATCCAACAGCCGCATTAAATGCGGCCACATGCATTTGCCAGCGCCAACCGGATGAGGTGACCTCTCGGCCAATGGATGCTTGACACGTGTCCCTGTCCGGCATTTATTGCTACTATAAATAGCCCCCCCATTTCCCCATTTGTAACCACGACATTCATACTGAATATACTCTCTCTCTTACTTACTTGTGCTCTGACTTCTCTCTAAGTTATTCCCTGCAATAACCTTCGGATATATACCCCCCGGGTAGACTATCCATCATTTGGTGCTCTCGTTGAGAGGTCGAACAATCGAGTAAGAAACCCTCCCCCTTCGCCAAACACTAGCCCTCTACCAAAATGGTGAGAACAACACGTGCCAACTCCAAAAACGTAGAAGACAAGAACCTGGCCCTCGGCGACGTCAACGCCCCCGAAACCTCTCACAGGGCTCCCGAGGGCGGTGTCATCGCTGGGCTGGAACAGGCGGCTGTCGACCTACGCCTTCAGATTCAGCAGAATGCCCCCGATGCCCGCCTCGGCATCGAGGCCAAAAAGAAAAACCGGAGCGATGACCAAGTCAGCCCTCCGGTTCTCACCATCGACGTGCAATCGGCGCTCTCCGCCTTCATCCAAACGCTCACTCAGAACCCGGGTGCCTTTGGCACCCTGGCTCCGGCTCACCCCCAGGTTGGGGAGAACATCATACTTCCCCCTCTGCCACACCCCTTCGGAAACCCCACCCCTCGGGTTAGGAACAACGAAGGGGTAGTGGCCCAAGATACGTCCTCCCAGGAAGTTCAGTCCCGGGACCACCATAATGACAACAGAGAAAGGCCCCGCACTTCCGCCCTCAACCGGCTCGGAGGAGGGCCAGACCACCGAGGGGTCCAAGACCGCCTCGGAGAGAAAGCACTCCAAAGGCCCCAGGAAAGCAGAGGGTCTGTCTCGAGGGCAGACGAGGAGCGTCCCCCTCGGGACAAAGGCAAGGCACCCCTTCATGCCGATGATGCTCGCCACCAGATCAACCAGGCCCACTCGGCCCGGGTTCGTTCGCAGGGGGCGGAGACCCTCCCGAAGGATCCCCGAGACGAAATTATTGCGGCCCTCCAACGCCGGCTTGATGAAATGGAGGCCAACAAAGCTCACGCCGCCACCTCCACCCCTCATTCAGACCTCAAATACGAGGCCATGATGGCCAAAATGGAGGAATTACAGAAGAAGGTGGCCGAGGGATCCAGGGAACCCGTCATCCAGCTACGGACCCGGACGCCATTTACCCCAAGTGTATTGGCGGCCCGGATCCCGGAAAAATACCGAGGGCAACACATACAACCCTACAACGGGAAGACGGACCCCCAGGAACACTACAGCAAATATCAGAACAGCATGATGATGGTAGGGGCGTCGGACGAATATTTGTGTCGTTGGTTCCTCTCCACCTTAGAGGGGCCGGCATACGAATGGTTCAACCGGTTGCCTGAGGGCTGCATTGATTCGTGGCAAGAACTCGCCCAGCGATTCTTGACACAATTTGCCGGGAGGCGTCGCACGAGGAAGCACTTCTCCCACCTCCTAACCATACGCCAGAAGAGGGATGAGACCCTTCGGGACTTCCTGGAGCGCTGGAGGACAGAGGCCGACAAAGTCGACGGTGCTGATGACGGGACCCTCCTGGCCCTCCTGCAGACCGTCCTCCGCACCGGCAACTTTTCAAGGAGCCTCATCATTGAACCCCCCCGCGATTACATAAGGGCTTTACAGCGGGGGGACCGATATGCTGAGGCCGAGGAGGTGGAGAAATACCACCAGCATCCGGATCAGCAGCCCCCGAGGGCTGACAACAAGAGCAACCGGGGGCCGGGGGCTCCTCCAAATCACCCCAAGCCTTCTGGACTCTCTGACGACCGCCCTCGGCAAGGCCAAGCCAAGCCCGGGGGAGGTTATAAGAGCAACCATAAGACTTGGGCACAGCCCATTCTCCTGGACCGCCCTCGGACACCATTGACGCACCCCGTCAGCATCATCCTTGATTTTGCCGAGGAGAGGGGCCTCGTTGAGCGCGACTCTCGTGCACCCCCGGAGGTACATGCTATCAACCCTCAGTTCCCTTACTGCCGTTTCCATCGGCATCAGGGACACATGACCGATGACTGCCACCAGCTAAAAACGGCCATCGAGAGATTAATACAAGCGGGACACTTGTCCCAATTTGTTCAAAGCCCTCGGCAGGAGGGACCCTCCCATCAGGGACCTCCCCGAGGGCACCACACGAAGCTAAACGCTTGGGTGAACCTGAACACCATCCCCCTCGGCAAGAAAAGGGAGATCGGAAACTTGGAGGAGGAAGAGGAGGAGTACCCCCACTACCAAGAGAAAAAACGCCACATCCTCATGATCACCGGCGGTAATACAGGGGGCGATTCCACCAGTCAGCGGAAGAAGTGGGCTCAATCTCTTTACGTGGGGGAAGTCACCCATATGCCCCCGGTAAAGCGGCTGAGGGAGGAACCCATCACCTTCACCAACGCAGATCTCCCTCCTACTTCTTCTCCTCACAGGGATGCCTTGGTGATTCGGACTGAGATAAACGACACCATCATTCACCGAACTTACATTGACACGGGCAGCTCCGTCAATGTAATGTACCTCAGCACCTTCAGAGAGCTGCATCTGGAGAGGGGGTCCCTTCGGCCCATTAAGACCCCTCTTGCCGGCTTCACCGGCGATACTATCGATTCCGAGGGGGTAATAACCCTCCCGGTGATCTTCGGCGACGGGCTCCATAGAGCCCAGCTCGAAGTGGAGTTCGTCGTCGTCAACATCGACTGTGCCCACAACATCATCCTCGGCCGGCCAGCCCTCGAGGACCTCGAGGCCATCATCTCCATGAGGCACCTCTGCCTCAAGTTTCCCGCCGAGGGGGGCATTGGCTACTCCCGGGGGAATCAGAAAATCTCCCGCGCCTGCTATCTTCAAGTCACTAAGAAGGTAAGTAAGACGGAATTTCGTGTTGACACCATCACCGGAACCATCGACCAAGAAGAAAAAAGGCCGAGGGCTGAACCAGCCGAGGACGTAGAAGACTTTGCGCTTGATCCGGCCCAGCCGGAGAGAGTCGTGAAGATTGGAGCCCAGCTCCCTGGAGATCTGAAGACCGGTATCACCGATGCCCTCCGCGCCTACTCCACTGTCTTTGCATGGGGGCCGGAGGACATGCTGGGAATAAGCCGAAGGGTCATGACCCACCGCCTCTCGGTGGACCCCTCGGCAAAAGCAGTGCAGCGACGAAGAAGACCCCTCTCCGCCGAGAGGAGGGAATTTGTGAAGAAGGAGATCGCCATGCTCCTCTCAATTAAGCACATCAAGGAGGTGAAATACCCCTCATGGCTGGCCAACGTAGTCCTCGCACAGAAGCCCCCGACCTTCCGCATGTGCATGGACTACACCGATCTCAACAAGGCGTGCCCTATGGATCCATTCCCTCTACCGAATATTGATCAACTGGTGGATGAGACCGCAGGGTGTGAGATCATGTCCTTCCTCGATGCCTTCCGAGGGTATCACCAAATTTTCATGCACGAGGAAGACGCCGGAAAAACTGTCTTCATGACTCCCGAGGGCATCTTCTGCTACCTGGTAATGGCCTTCGGCCTAAAGAACTCGGGGGCCACCTACACCCGGATGGTGGCCCGGGTCTTTCAAGCCGTCCTAGGGCGCACCATGGAGGCCTATGTTGATGACATGATCGTCAAGAGCAAACAATCTTCCAGCCATGCCGACGACCTCCGGGAAATCTTCGCCATCATGCAAAAATTCAACCTTCGGCTAAACCCGAAGAAGTGCACCTTCGGCGTCCAAGGGGGCAAATTCTTGGGCTACATGGTGAGCCGAAGGGGTATTGAGGCCAATCCCGAGAAGATCCAGGCCATCATCGACATGGAACCCCCCACGCAATGTGAAGGAAGTTCAACGGTTGACGGGCCGCCTGGCAGCCCTCAACCGCTTTCTATCTAAATCAGCGGAGAAGTCTTTACCCTTCTTCCAAATCATGAGGAAGACGGCTGGTTTTCAATGGACTACAGAATGCCAGGAGGCTTTCGACGAGCTCAACGATATCTATCTTCACCTCCTGTGCTCTCCAAACCCAAGGTAGGGGAGACCCTCTACCTCTAC